GTCACGTCCACCGTTGAAATCATTCCCGAGCAGCAGCAGCATCCCATCCTCGGTGCAAATCGGAGTGAGCGAGACCACAAAAAGCGCTTTTGGACCAAAGCATGCAGCATGATGAACTGCACTGCGAACAGGAACTCAGGACCTTGTAGCAAAGGTCAGAATTCAGAACCTCACCCAAGAACTTTTCGCCAACCTTGGGAGCTTTTGGAGCCCATCTGGCCCATCAACCTAAGTCCTTCGAGCTCTCTCAGACGAGCAACCGTTAGAAACTTCAAGATCGTCTCTGTGGAAGTCTTGTCCTGAACAGGGGAACACCAGTGGCGGTAGCCTTCCTCCTCGGTCTCGTTTGCGTTTGGTGAGGCCTCTTTCCTTAACTGTTGCTTCAAGCATGCATGTGGCACTGGAGGTTCTCACAGCGAAAATGGCAAAAGTAGAATGAACGAACCCAGACAACCCTGCGCCTCGAACCGAATGAGATATCCCACGTGGGCACCCAGCATTGTATCTAATTCGTCAGCCACTCGCTGTGCTACCTCGGCTGAGTCTCAACCCACATGGCTCATACGACTTCACAGCACCCTCAAACGGCCCATCAACATGATCAACCATACTCCCAGGCATGTGAACACTTAAAGCCTTTCTGACCTGCCACTTTGATCTTGCACAACCTGAGAGCCTACAACGAGCTTAGAACATCTTAGAACCGGATTCTGAAACCAATTGGTCAGATTCTGAAACTGCCGTTCTGAAACTGCGGTTCCAAAAAGCTGGGATTCTGAAAATGGATTACAGTAGATCTGCAACTGGGTTTCTGAAGACTAGGCTTCTGAAACTGTGCTCCGCATGGCACTTTCTGAACCCACTTTTGGTGTCACAGTTTAAGGAACTCATGAGCCCTTGAAGACCATAGTTTCAGAATCCGACCCTAGTAGACTGCTGTGGCTTGAAACTGATAGTTCGGAATTGATTGAAGCTGTAACCTGGTGAGGAATCGGTGCCACGAAGGCGAAAAAACCACAACCAACACCAACACCGCGCTAACGTCATCCACAGTCATCCTAGATGAGCCAAACGTTGAGGCAAACGAGTCCTGACACATCGGTTTAAAGAACAAAACACGGTAGTGCAGCGGATGACTACAACATTGCGGAAGCCCATTTGCGGCTTCCCATCCCAGTTGTAGAACCTCCTTTGCGTATTCCCAACGCGAAACCCCAGCTTCGAAACTGGTTGCGGAATCCGTTTTGCAGAAGCGGTCGAATCCCGCATGGTATGAGCCCTGGACCCCCCCATTCAACCCAACCCTGCCCAGCTTTCTTCCAGAGTTGTGGACCTCAGCGGCTGCCAAATAGTTCTCAGCCGCAGAATCCGAGTTGCGGAATCCAAACACTTGCGGCTTGCGGAGTCCCACTTAATCCAGTCCAGTTGCGGAATCCGACTTTATCCCCTTGAGGAACCGGATATGTTTTACAGTTTTACACCAAGCGTGACCGCCCAACCACCCACCTGGCTGCGACCGGTGGACACTCATGGCTGCGACCCGCCGAGGCTGCGTGCACGCAATGCCTGACCGGTGGATAGGCTGCGGGTCACAGGTCAGGCATTCACATCACTATCCAGTGATTCATGGGGATCGCCATGGCGATGCACCAATAGGCGCAAAAGCCTAGGGCCTAGATCACATTGTATGGTGAACTGAAAGGTAAGCCCTCCCAGGCGAGCAGTGCCTTTAGGCTTGTCGCCAGCCATGTGGTAGCCAGCCTCTCAAAAACAGACTGTCTTTCAATCTCAGTATCTGAAGTTCTGAAGAAGCACACGGAGTGTGAACAGCCAGCAGTTGACTTGAACCAAGGAGTACAAGAAGAGGGATTTGGGAAATGACCATAAACTTTTTGGGTCGGAACCCAAACCACAACTATCAAAAGCATCTTCACAAACAATGCAACTTAAAACTTCAGTGCATTGACCAGGCGTTTCTTCCTTGAAAGCAGAATCCTTGTCAAGTACATACATGCAACTGTGCAATCAGCTGGTAACACCACGCCAACCAGTCACTCGCCATGCGTGCCATCAGAGGCCTCCAGCAAAAACTGCGGCAACTGAGTTGTCTTGCCAGAGCCAGTCTCGCCAACCAGCACCACAGTCTGATTCCGCTTGATGAGTTTCAGGAACTCTTTCCTGCGCTTGGAGGCCCATTGATGCTAGGGCCTACCACGCAGGCTCTAGAGCTCCAGAAGACAAGCAGAAAGAACTTCTAGAAGAAAGTGCTTCTTCGGGTGTTTTTCCTCAAAGGCAGCAGGTTGTCCTTCCTTTAATATGTCACCTCCTTCACAGCTGGGCAGTTGGTCTTTTGGTGTCTATCCAGCACAGCAAAAAATAACTTTTGTCGCACGATCACTCAAGAAACACACAGCTGCCCATCGATCCCTCCTTGCTTCCCATGCTGGCAGCTTCTGCCGCTTTTCAAGGATGTCATAGTAACCTTTGCTGTGCATGTGGGCTTCCGATGGAGTGGGCGAAATCTGGATGTGGATGTAGCAGGAAACTAGAGTTTCCTGAAGTGGTGTTGTGTCAAAGCTGAAGCTTCAGGACAGCCTTGAATGTGTTTGACAAGACGTAGGTGTTGGATGTTTTGGGGCAAAGCAACCACAAGACTTGGTTGATGCGATCTTCCAACACTTCACTTCCCTCAAGTCAAGATCCAGGAACCAAATTATTAGTGCGAGATAGTGCGAGTGCTTCTTCAAGGAAGCTCCCCCGCCTGAGTCCGGCGACTAAAAGCTAACTAGTATATAGCTAGTAGCGAACTACTCCCTTGCTTAATTAGGCAGGCGCCTACTTTCTTTGCTGAAGTAGGAGTGGGCTAAAAAATAAGAACAGACTCCCCGGAACAAGACTTGGGTCATTTGCTGAAACCTCTAGACCGCGATGAAGTTCAGTAAAGCTCTGGCAAACCCAACAGCTCGACGTTGAGGGGATTCAGAATTCAACTTCAATATCTTCCATGTGAACACAGGAGGTAGACATGTTTTCAGAGGTTTAGCAGTTGAGCCTGCTCAAAGCTGTGGCTTGCGAGGGTTTGCGCCGTAAATCCACTCACAATGCACTGTGCGTCAATCAACTGAAGTCCACATGGTGACCAAGGCATGATTCCTGTTCTTTTCAAAGACATGAGGACACACATGGAAGAATGGCCAAAGTGAAGCCCACACACCAGAACAGCAAGGTGTGTGCCCCCACATGCGAGATCCTTTCAATTTTTTGTTTCCAAGGTCCTCATCTTCATGTCGCTCCACATGTTTCAACACCCATCCTTGTGCTACCTGCATCCCCCCAGTGCCTTGAAACAAACATCATCCCACCTAGTCTTTTAACGTCTTTTCAGGCTCCGACACCAAGAGCTTCGAACCTTCGCAAAGCCCGTCTCCCCGCCGCCCAAGCGGCGATCGGAGAAGGATCGCTCCGTGAGGGGATTCACCGTGGGCTTCTCCATGGGTTTTTCCGTCCGCGCCTGCCGTTGAATACAGGTGACCGGAGCAAATGGAGGCAAATTTTTCATTGACGTTGTTCCAACAATCTCGGAAGTCTTTTTGTACATCAGCGCACTTTTCTTGCATGTTGGTGGGGTTTCTTCTGTGGGAGTCAGACCCCAAATGGATCAGCTGCGGGGATTGGGCTGCTAAGTGCAAGCCTGGTGCCATCTGGGAGCTGCAAATGAAATGTATTCAAATACATTATATTATATAGTAGTAGGCCAGCAGTTAGAATATTAAAAAAGGGGTAGTATGCAGTTAGAATACCTGATTTTCTTGAACCACAGGGTGTTACATTCTTGCAGTTAGAATAATGCCTACACACTCGCGGTTAGAACGGCTGTGCATCGGAAAATTCCTACTCAGCTTATCTTGGCTTTGGTTCAAAGTATAAATCCTACCGGGTCGAAAGGAAAAACAAATCCAAAAGATGCTAAGTTAAAGTCTGTTAGTTATACATCCGTTGCTGCGTAATATATCGTTATGTTCTATATGCATGTTGAACTATTCTATCTGCATGGAGATATTCTATCTGCACTGTTTTTCACCCGGACGTCCGTTTTCCACAGGTTCCAAGCACGTGCAAATGAGAAGTGCGAAAGTCATCGAGTACGCAACAGAACAAAACAACAGTTCCATCCACTTACCTGCCACTTCTGGTGGAAACTCATCCCAACTGAAGTGTGTTTGTGTGTTATCCAAGGTAGAGGCTTGACATCTAGCCTCTCTCCAAGAAGCATTGAACTGTATGGCGAAGCTGCTGAAAAATGTTGCTAGAAAGCCCATCTTCCAGTTCCCCCTCTGTTGAAGGCTCTGGCTCTGGCTCTCTCTCTCTCTCTCTCGCTCTCGCTCGGTGGTGGACACAACAGCAACTACCAATCACAGCCCCCTCTTAAAGTGTCCTTTCATATGACTCATCGAAACGTAAACAGCTGATTAATTGCTGACTGGAGTGGAAGTGGAATACCCCCCTGTACAGGAGGATAGGTATCCTTTGTGAGAGCATGGCGATGGAGCACCTTCTTCACTGGCGGGCCGTCTTGGGACTCCATGGCGTCTGCCGGCAGAGTGGTTTGAAGCTGCTTTGGTTCACAAGCTTGGTAAAAGCTGCGCAGGTCGCAAACATCGAGCTGGGCTGTTGAGGGTGCTAGGAATGTTGGATTTCACTTAAGACTCGAGCCGGGCGAACATGCAACATCGTGTCTGGCGTAGTCTTTGATGAGTCTCTTGCTGCGGTATTTTGTTCGTAGCCTAAGAGACATGTCGTGTTCATGTGTGGCAAATGGCATTGCTTCCATGAAGGGGTGCTGAGATAACTGCAGACATGAATGCACGCATGCAAGTGATGCAGATTGTTCCTGACTGAATCCACATGAAGCTTTCCTTCCATACAAAAGGAGCCGGAATCTCATAGGTACACGATCGCTTCGAGGAAGAAAGCGAGTGCAGGAAATCCAAGAAGCAGGCCCTCCTCACGGATGTCCTGCAAATGCGCAAATCGGCTTGCTGTTTTTTTGAACCTGTGGTGAGAAGTTTTTTTAAGGATACAAACCAGCCAGATCATTTGTAGAATCCCATCCATCCAAGTCGATCCAAGGTCTGCGGCGTCTTGGCCCATCGAAGAGAAACAAATAACAGCCACTGTTGAATTTCGATTCTGGCTCAACCGTAGATCTTGTCAGAGATAGAGAGAGAGAGAGCCTCAAAGTGGAATTTGGAAACCCAAGCAAGCTGACAGGTCGATCTACAATGGATGTTTTGCTGGATCACTGGTCCATGACTCTATAACTATAACTATAATAAGCCAAACCATGGGAAATTCCCTGTAACATCCTGTAACAATGGATGTTTTCTGCTCTGCACCTTGGCATCCAAGTCCCTTTGGTCTTCAACAAAGCAATCACTGTGGCTGGGTTGATTGAGGCCGCCGATGCCGTTGCAACCGATCGATCGTCTCGACGTGACGTCGACCACGTGGCGTCGCCAAAGCCGAACATGACCGTTGCTGGGTGGGTGGGGGGGAGCCAATGACTGTTACCCCCTTCTTGTAGACTACCTATTCACCGGTGGATGAATTGTCCCTGGCCTTCCCGAATCACCCTGACCTGTGTGAAGCGTGCCTGAGCACATCTGGCACTCGATTCCGCTGCGCCTGTGGTGCCACACTAGTAGGTAAAGGCCATAGTAAGGACTAAGAAAAAGAATCCGCTGGAGGATGGGGGTGAAGGCCAGTTGAGACATCCTGATCATCATATCATGTCCTCTGAGTGTCCTCTTCCTAATCTGGATCTTGATTGATATCTTGGTCTGGCGGTGGAGGACAAACATTCTTCATCAGTGCCTGGCAAGTCTGCATGTACATACAGGATGAAGCCCCTCCTTGTTCAGTTCACCTAGTCGAATAATCAGCTATCACTATCACACACTGCGAAGAAACAGACCTTTCTTTGTAAGGCTCGTCTATTTTGAGAAAGTAGAACAGCTTCCTCGGACACAACCAAAAGAAATGTTTATCAAGAAAACACAGCAAGAGCACCTGCAGATCTCACGAAAATCCATCAAGATTGCGCCTCGCGCAAGGAGATCAATTCCTGCCTCAGGCCCTGACGTGGGAAAATTTACCCCAAGCAATGCGACTCTTCCAAGGCTGACCTGACGCTCCTTTGTTTAAGTTTAGCCCACCCAATGAAACCAGTCCTCTGGTCTCAGCGCCGAAAGGCTACACTGGCTGCAAATGTCTGAGAATGTCACAAAAAAAAGAAACAAGACCCGACTCAGCTCTGGTGACTCCTTGTTGATTGAGAACGTGATTGCAAAGCGTCAATATGGCCAAGCAAGGCAAAAGAACAAAAGCGGAAGAGAAACAAAAGGCCAACAAACGGCAAAAGGAAGAATGCAAAACGGGCAAAAGGCAAGAAAGGCAGGGAAAGAAGGGCGCATAAAGGCAAAAAGCAAGGTGCAAACAAAACCTGAAAATCATGTCATACACAAAATACAATTTGGCAAAACGATAAGGGAAAAAAGTGCCTTCAGTTGCCTTCAGATTGCATGATCTTGCCATTTGGATTTGCTTTTTCTCCTAAAACAACCATTTTGAGTTGCTTGATTCGAAACACTAGTAATTAGCATCCTTGTTACTAGTAGCTACTTGCTCCTAGTCGTATGGCCAGGAGCCCCTAGTAGCGTCCTTGCTCCTAGTAGCGATGCCAGGAGCCCCTTGTCTGCCTGCTGCCTTCTTTTTTATCAGCTTTTGGCCTCCGTCCACAACACTGCTGTGCGCAACCAACCAAAAGCCGCCTGGCTGAGGCTGGTGATGATCTTTTGCCGCTGAATTGGGCCAGCTTTGGATAAAGCCTGGCGGAGTGATGGGTTTTGTACTTCATTTGCATGCATGGGAAGAGAGTCTGTAGGTTTGTCTCAAAATGGGAGAATGAACCCTTTCAGACCCTGCAAGAAAATCGATTGGGGCGTTCCCCGCTCCTTTCAGCTCACCAAAGCCGGCCAAGTGGGTGAAGCACGCACATGGAAGGCATGCCCCGAGCTACACAGTCAAGGGCCAAGACACCACATCTACTAGTAGTAACAAGAAGCTATTAGAAACAATAAGACACCTAGACTCTTTCCACATCGCTCAAAAGGTCTCCCTTTCCTCGTCCTGCAAAGGACTCACAATCTCTCCCGCTGTCATATTATAACATGGAGTGTCTGACCTTCTGACCGGTCAAGAAAGAAACCACACCTCTGCAGTTTTGCGGGCTCTTCAGACTGAATATCAGTTCTTCCTTCGGACTGAAATAGCTAAACATCCTGAAGATCCAGCAGTTCAAGTCCTGCCTCACAAAGCTGCCGACACGCAATCATGAGCCTCCGTGCCGCCTGGCAACTCCGTGTCTCGAATCATTCCGTGTGTCACATCAGCGAACGAAAATCCCAAGGTAGCTTCTTGTTACGTTCGTAGTAAGAATGCTCCGTTCGTAGCGATGCCAGGAGCCCCGTTCGTAGCGTCCTTGCTCCTAGTAAGGGGGCTAGTTTCTGGCCAAAGTGAATAAACCAAGAATGGGCCAAGACTGCCCATGACATGCCCGGACCATGAGTCGTTGAGCAGCTGAAAATTGCATAGCTTGTAGACCTTTGTCCCGTGTCAGGCCTTCTCAGCCATGGGTGTCAAGGCCTGGCAGTGCTGAGAGGTGTCAAAAAAAAGCGACAAGATTGTCTTAAAGGTCGCTCTGCCCTCCCACCTATATAATAGCGCCTACCACCTAGCGATGGCCTCCAACCTAATAGCGATTCTCTCAAAGTCCGATGGACTTTGACTTTGCAAAACTTTTCTGTGGGAGGACTGGTCTCCTTCGTTGCATGTTTCGATGCTGGGTATGAAAACAATGGTGAGTGGTTGGCCCTTCTACAGAACATCTCTTGGAATACATTCAGCTACCAGTGTGCATCAACCGCCGCAACCTGCCTGAAGTCGGCCAGACCTCGGCTTTGGTTCAGCTTAACAAAGGCAACGAACACCGGAGGCCACCCAGTTCAAGTAAGATTTTGGACATTGGGATGTCTGATGTCTGATGGTGTTGCTTTAAGAAACAATGTTGTGCTGGTGGTGTTGAGAAAGGCTGGGAAAACACCCACAACAAAGTTGCGAAACAGCCTTCTGTCATCCCAAAGGCCTTCCTATAATGGAAATCTGTTTGCAGTGGACCTCCCAAAAAATAGACCCTCTCTCTCATCGCCTTGCGTCATCACCTTGCGTGTTGCTTGCAAAGCAGTGCTCCCCGTAAAAAGGCCAACATGGGTCGTGAGGACCCCTAGGGCACTGGTAGCTTTGATTATTCTATCTGCCCAGAAGTTCATCCCTCTCTCTTTTCACGGGAAAAGTTTTTTTTCCGACCAATCGCTACCATGTAGGTCCTATGCGCCCCAGCTGGCCTACACCCGCCACCCACGACCACCCACCGACTGCCCAGTCGCGAGATGGGTCGTTTCCTCGAACATGCCATGCTCGGCATCGAGGTCATAGCCCGGGAGAGCCCAAGACTCAGCCCTCCCGGGCCTGGATCGGGTCATGGGCACAGCTACTCAAAGCATGAGAATAGACATCCATCTAATAGTTTTGAGAATAAACGTACAGTACACTGTTTTTACAGGGATTCGACCCACATCCGGCTTGGAGTGGATTGATGCAGCACCATCCAATGAATCTCAAGTCTGTTCTGGGCAGGTTGTGTCCATGACAGCAGCGTCGGTGGAGTTGTGTTCCCAACTCAACTCCAATGTCGCTAGCTATCTGCTATGGAAAGCCACCGTCACAAGAAAGAGGCGTCCTGAAACCTTGTGACGTGACTGCCAAACCTCCAAAAACTTGAAGCACATCCTTATGGGACTCGTGCATCATCACCAGGAAAGGCTTCAGACCAGTAGTGGAGGTCAATGAGCCCATCATAAAGGAAGCACAAGTGATTCGTGACATGGGCTGTCATCGTGGCGACGGCATAATTCACACCCTCAACACAAGTCATAAACCCTTCGTGCAACCCCAGACATCGTCGCAACCTTACAGCTCAGAGGCCCTCCCTGAGCCAAAAAGAAAAGCCCGAGGCCCTCGCGTAGAGATATGCTGGATAATAATAATATCGATATCCTCGGCAACGCGCACGGCTGGCTTAACACAGTGAAAGGTTGCTTGGCAGAACCTTTGCAGACCACATGTGGTAAGGTGTGGTGCCAGGATAAGCCTTCGATCTGGTGGCATCTCAACGACCAAAGGCTTTTGTCTTGCAGGCAAGGGTCCCTCGTAGTAGAAGTCGCTGCTCATCTCGACCAAACGATGGCCTCAGCGGATGATGGCTCCGCGAGAGAAGACTTCGGGCATGCTTCGTTGGGTATCTTGATCAACTGGCAGATCCGTTGGGCAACCTTAAGAAACGAAAAGGGATCATTCTTAAGTTGAAGCTCTCTGGGGCCAACATGCTTTCACTGGTAGGATTCAGCTTTCTCTCGCCAATCACGTCGCCACGGTCACCACCAAGCTCACCCAGCGTGTGGCTCATCCTCTGGGCCGCTGGCTACGGTCCGATCCAAAGTCAAAGGTGACGGCAGTGAAGAGCGACATGGTGAAGACGGGGGTCCTCAGTGAAGAGCGGTCGCCAATGGCAGTTTTCTGATCGTCCTGTCCTTCGGATGCTTTTCTTGTTGCCAAAAGTGGATTGTAATCTGGCAATAGGTGATGTGTTTGTGTGGGAAATATTCGGACTTGTTTGATCTTATTAGACACTCTAGCCCTGTCGCTCTATTTCGATCTATCCGGGCTACTTCGGACCCATTCTCTGCTCCATCCACACCGGGCTTCTTCGACCGTCTGAGTTCCAGGCGAACAGCCGGCAGTCGTAGAGATCGGGTGCGGCGCACCGAAGGCTGCAGCCGTAAATCCCAGCGTGCGTCGCAGCCAAGTTCTATAGGGAAACACTGACAGAGATGGATCTAAGACATATAGGCCTGTAGCCTGTACACACCAGTTTCTTTCAGGAAAGAGGCCTAGATGTGCGGTGCTGGAGGTCCCAACTGTTGGACATCTTCGTACTTTTTTTTGTTGCAGTGGTTCCACTGACACGGACGTGTGATACTTCAAAGCCTTCCTTGGCAAGTCCTGAGGTCAAGTCAAACATAGGTCTTACCACTTCAAGCAATCGGTTTCACCAGCTCTTCCCCCCCCCCCACACACACACTTTTCTCACTCACGCCTAGCTCAGCCATTAGCTGCTCTGCCTCCGTTGGCATGGCCATCCGGAGGTACCGCAGCATCGCCGGCGTCGGCGCCAGGCCGCTGTCCACGAGGTCTCGGAAGGCCCGCTCCGCCTTCCGGCTCCGGCTGCCGCGCTTCCTGGGGAAGGCGATGGTGCCGGAGGCCCGAAAAAGCTGTGGGAGAAATGATCAGACTCGCTGTTTGAGAAGTGGGGAGATGAACAATGGTCAAATGTGGAATCTGCAACCCTCAGAAATCCGTTTGCCCCTGGCACCTCGCATAGGCGAAGAGCAAGCAGGCGAAGAATTCAGGCCGCTGTCGACCGCTCTCTTGGCGTGCCTGGAAGATCAAATCCTCTGCGCGTTCCACCTAAAATCAAGTCCAGCAATGATCTCCGAAAAAGTTGTTTTGCTGAGAAATCCGAATTTGATACCACCACCACGACTAACATCAACACTACCAAACCAACCAGTGTATGTCGCAACAACCCTCAGCGAACCTGGCCTCATTTTGCATTGCATATGCATATGCCAAAGAGGACAAGGACATCCCATCAGCCCGGATTTCATCCAGTTCCATCTGCTCAAAGAGCCTCTTCACATTCTTGGGCGTCTCTGGTGTCTCCTCTTCTGCCAAGTAGGCGCGGAACACCGCGTTGTACATCCCTGTATCCAGCTTGAGCTCCTGGTGTCGAGCTTCCTCAAGACACGCCTCTGCAGCCTTTCCACCTGGGGTTGGAGAGAACCGGATGGAGGTGGAAAAAAGCAAACCACGAGTTGTTGATTATGAGAGATGAAAGTCTTGTAGACGGTAGACGTCTCTCATACGAGAAAGACATAACTGCAGGTACCCAGTCAGGCATCTTTGTGTTTGCTTTTTATATTCTTCTGTCGCTAGGATCTCTGCTTGTCAGCATGTCTGCTTGCTGTGGTGAGCCGTGAGCATTATCCCCAAGAAACCCTTGGCTTGAGTTCCAAAAAATTGGTCTTGTATGAATACAGCTTGCTGGCTTTGCCGCCATAGCAAATCTATTGATTCTTGCATCTCCACTTCGGTGCAATCGCACTGCCTCCCGCAGTACCTCCCAATGCCTCGACGACCGGAGACCTTGATCATCCAGAGGTAGCTGAAGCTGTCAGGGCTCACCTGGGCACGGGGAGTGCTCGAATCACCCATGTTCAGGGCGACCCCTTTTTTGGTGGGAGGTAAAGTGGTTCGGGAATGAGTTTCACTGGTTGCCTTTGTTGAAAGCCTTTGGCTTGTGAGCAAGGAACAACACAAAGCCTTTGGAGTTTTCGCCCGAGTCCACCTGCGCTTTCGTCATCCTCTCCAAAACGGCCCGCGCTTCAGAGACGCTTCCGAACATCGTGCAGGCACCCAGAAGGTTATTGAAGGAGAGGATGTTCGGTTGCAGTGAAGCGTCGTAGATCTTTTGGAACCAACCTGGGTGGCAAACATATAACAAACTGATGAGTTGCATCGAGGTCACGTTCTGACACTTTGGTTTGGGCACTTCCCACTGGCTGCTATCCGGCCAGTGCTTATTTGAATGGAATACAGTGCTTACTAAATGAAAAGACCAGGATGGAGGAGTACAATGCAATACAGTACGACTTGGTGGTTCCAAAAACGCAGTTGCAAGTTGTAGGCTACAGCTCTTGTGGCGCACTTGTGCGGTCATTTGGCCGCCAATCGGATCCCGCGAGCAATGCAATGTGATGGAATCAAAGGGGAAGACTACAATTAGAAGAAAAGTAAGACCGTCAATGGATCTAAATGGCCCTATAGCTTTCAGCTATTTGGGGAACAAATACATGATATTCAAGTTCTCTTCCAAATGGCCCGAAAAAAGAAAAGAAAATTGCATAAAGTAAAAACACACACACACACACACTGTGCGTCGTGCCGCTCTTGGCGCGGTCCAGATCCGCCGCCCGTGCGCAGACCTTCAACATGGCGTTGAAAAGAGGCAGCGAGGGCATCAACCCACTCTCCTCTTCAGTGCGGGACGGTCAGGTCCTATTTGGACACAAGCATCCCCAGCCATCACTTCACTCCCTGATTGTGTTGCAGGAATCTGTGGTAATCTTTGCTCCACATTTTCAATTAAACAAAACAAACCTGTTTCATGTGAGCCACAAAAGATCCAACATTGACAAGAAGGAGCGTGCGAAGTCCCAATAAAGGTCAGAAATCCTATAATTACTGCAGAGCAATGCAAAAGGTGAGGCAGCAAAGTTAAAGACTTAGGGGGCGTTGTGCTTCACGGTCCCATGAAGTCCCCAACAACCCTCCGAGTCCGTCCTCAACTTGCTGAAAGAGTTGGCTCGCGAACAACAAGTCTTGCTCCGTGGGGCGCAAAGCATTGACAATAATTCCGTACGTGAGAGTGTTGGCCGGGACTCCCAGCTTCGCCATCTCTTGCAACCTGGATTGAATCTGCGCCTTCTTCCCCAGGCCAGCCAAGCATTGTAGAAGCTCCTCATACAAATGCTTGGTCACTGAGCTCATAGGCTGGCATTCCTTCAAAGCAGCTGCAAAGCTTTCCTCAAGCTTCTGCAACTTGGTATCATCCAAATCCCCCTTTGATGTAGCTACTAAGGAGGAAAAGCGCCGCACAGCGCTCGAATCCTCCTCCTCCTCCACCATGCTCCTATCCGGTAGGAAGTGAATTGCAAGTTCAAAAAACAATGATCCATTAAAGGTCCAGGTCCAACCCTACATTCGTTGGTGTAGGTCATTAACTGAGTCAATCACTGTCAACTGTGCCTGGCACCGGCAGCTATCAAGCTCCGAGTGACCCTGGGGTGTTGACGAATCTCGCCCAATTTCGCCCGCATGAACCTGTCAGGGCACTCAGTTTCACTCATGTCCCTACGTCGAACTTCCCTCAAACCCGACATCTTCGCCGAACTTCCCGCTCGGTCTACAAAGCCAAGGAGAAGAGCTCCCAGACGGCAACATGAAAGGAATAGGAAAGGCACAAAACCGTACTCGGACAGGCACTGATAGGTTTTAAAGAGTTGACTATGTTCAATTCTTGTGAGGATCCTTTCATTGGAATCTACACGATTTTGCCACAAAAACTAACTCGTGTTGCCCTTTGTGCGCCGGCCTCCGCAACCACATTTCAGCTCGCACGATCTCTCGTGCCTCCGCACTGGCGGCCACAAGTAGGGCCAAGCTCAGGTCATTGGGCTCTTGCTTGTCCCTCCTTTGCTGTATCAGACGAACAACGGACCCACAGTGGCAGCCAGAAATGCCACTGAATGGAATGATTGATTTACCTATCTACTTGCTCTCACTCCAAAATGGAGTTTCCAAAGAAGTCGGAGGCCAAGTGTCACCAGTCTCTGGAAAATGCGTTCAGTCCCGTGGAGGTCTTCGGCTGATGCACACAGGTCCATCATGCGATTGAACCTTAGGCTTTGAGACAGCACTGGCGTGGTTTGCGGCCTTGGTCATTATACGAGTCTGTACGAGATCACACAACTTGTAGGAACGGGTATGTTCAATTCAGACATGTTAGACTACAGCGGGACAGCAATGCCACATGTCTTTGCACCTGCTTTCTACCACCATAGCATGGAAAAGGGCACTCGACATGATCATAAGAAAAATGAATGCCTTCATTGAATCTTCCTACAGTAAGTATTGTGTGAGGCCAGCAGGGAAATGGTTTTTTGGATGATTGCATTCCTATCTGCATCTTGTGGACAAACCATCTCTTCCGGCCGACCGACCTCTCCACCTTCTCATCCGCTTTCCGCTCCCGCCGCAGTCGCTCGGACCGGGACGCCAGCATGGCGACCCGGCGGCGACCCGCGGCGGCCAAAAGGAATGGATTTCGGAGCAAACATGGCATTTGCGGAGAAAGCAAAGAGACATTCTACATCACTTCACCGAGTTGTTGGTGACCTAGGTGAGTCCTAGGTGAGTGCGAACGATGTGACTAGGAGTCTGGCGCCTAAGTCTTGAAGCTTTGGTCAACATTTCGATCACTGTTGGCTAAAGAAAAAGTCTTTCATCTGGCTAACCTGCAGTACTTGAGTAGCTTGAACGCTCGAAAAAGCGCATCGTGCTCCTTACCCCACTAGCCAATACTAGCCATTCATCATTTCACCTAAGTTGCCAGGCTCAGTGCTTGCGTTTGAGCCAAGGATGACCCATGTCCATTGATTGAGGCCCTCGAACCCATATCCGTTCTTGGGGTGAATCTACTTTCTCACAAGTCACAGTGGCCTCTCCAAGACGAGCGTTCATCTCTTGAGGCCTCTTCACGCAAGAACGAAATCCCTTGTGGAACAGATGAACAAACCCTGTGAATTTCAAACAGTTTCCATTGTGAGGGACCTGTTAAAGCAACCACGTAATCAATTCCAAGCCATATCACCAGTAAACTGTGTGCAGCGGATGTGTTTATATGTCTATACAACCACCGTACATCTGTACATCACATATAGATAGATTGCCCCCATCCCACTGCCTCTTTGCAAACCATTCCGCAGGGAACAAATCCTGCAGCAGTGAGACGGTCTGGCTTTCCACGGTGTTCTTCATAGTCTGACCGAAGTTGCCCCAAGCAGGATGAATCCCAAAGCTTTGTGTCTCGAAGCACAACGGCGCTTTCTCTTCCCTGAGCAGTTGGTTCATCATCCGTTCATCGGTCCCATGGCAGCAGTCTGGATGCTCGATCACTCGCACGTAGCGGTCGGTCCGCATCAGGAAGACATTGTTCGCAAAGTAAGGATACTTGAGTTCCCGATCCACCACTAAACTATCCACATCCCAAATGGGACGAAACCATTTCTGGTCCAAACCCTTCAGCGCCAGGTTCAGCGCCAAAATCATACAGGTCAAATTCCCAGAGACCGGGTGATTCTTCCACCACCTCAACTCAAAGCGCTCAGCCACTGAGTTGTACCACTCCACCTCGTTCCAAGGTTCCGGGATGGGCACCGCCGGAATCTCTTTCGCGTCTACCGCCTCTCCACCGCGGCAGCAGTGCATCAGGCTGCCGTCGCGGCAGAACTGCCCTGAGCTCTGTGAAAAGCAACGGAAGAGCTGCCCACGGTCGGGTGCCTCCAAAGCAAAGAAGGGAGAAGGGAGATGGGACATGACAAGACTACTATAGCTGATTGCAAGCATGTTATAGTCTGACTTTGAACCAAAAACTGTGATTCAATGGCTAGATCCAGGAGACACACAGAATCAGGGCATAGTGTTGAAACCTTATACATCCTTATACATACTTTACATGTTTCAGAAGTCCTTCCCTTTTCAACCACTTCTTTTGGTGCATGTCCTTGAAGCTAATAGGCAAATGGCCAACTGGGTGGGTGTCCTTCATTTTTGGGACAAGTGCACCAAGCCAAAGTCTTTGTTGGCTTGAGTATTTACATCGAGTGGTAGTTGCCACTTCTAATATCCTGGGGGCTCTGCTTGCTCCATGACCAGTCCTTGTGACAGGTTTGCCGGCCTACTACGATGCTTTGTTTCCAATGAAGCCAAGTCTCAGAAAGCCAATGACGCGCAAAAGTCTCTGTTGAAGGGATGCCGTTCTGAGTCAATGGCAAGACCACTCCACAGCCACGCTTGTCGGCCATTGGCCCGCTTCTCACCAACGACATGAATGAAAAGGGCGGCAAGAATACATCGTCATCAACCTCGCCATGGGCCATTCTGGTCATATTCAGTCAAGGCCATGTCCAGACCACTTCTATTCTGGCAAACTCGGAAACACAGGTGAACAAGATTGAACAGCCACTTGTATAATGAGTGCCATTAACAAGCAAATCATCAGGCAAAATTGAATCTAGCGGCTGATACTATCCATTCAAAGCCTTGGTGTTCAGCGATGGCAAGCATCATGAAGATCTTGTTGAAGTAGTTGTCGCTCTTCCGCGATTCAGCAAGCTGCCGGTTGAATCCAGGGTATCGATTCACCTTATCAGGCCAGCGAGCCTTCATGAAAGCACTGGCATGTGTTTTTTTGCTACCATGGCATCGACCTACAGTAGGCCCTTCCTTGAAAGTACTGGCGAGTCCACTGAAGGCCCTTTTTGGAGCTCATGGAAGACCACAGTGAAGACCCCTGTGGAGTTTGCCAAATCACAGATCCGCACCAGTGGAGACCACCAAAGACGGGGAAGGCCACTCCCAAGTGCTTTCGCCAAAGATGAGGATCCCAGTCGGATAGCTGGTGCAGGAGAACGTGGAGGCGGAAGTCCTGGAAGTGGTGCCAGACATCCTGCGGACCGTGGCACAGTTTCTTCAAACAACCAAAGCTGTGTGCGGGAAGCGAGTGGATACGGTATCGCCACGCAGCCACGTATAGCATAATTCATCATTCATCATAATTCGATGAACTAGGGCTCCCTATCCACTTGCGAAGTAGAGGTTGTTGTGAAGAATATGACGAATCTTTCTACAAGACTCCTTGAGATCAAGGTAATACAAGTCGGCCAGGGCAAAGAATTTCTAGTTTGCTGTGTACTTGAGCCACGGCAATGGGTCACGAAGTCTCCCAGCTCTCCTCGATCGTCTTGGGCAGAAATTGCCAAACGATCGTGTTTGGAGACTGAAGCCTGGGCCACAGGGCTAAGTGCCGGAGAAGATTCTATCAAATCCTCAAGGCGCGGGTGCAAAAAATGTCGGTGCCCAAACTCTCCAGTCGGAGCCAAAGCACAGAAAGACTCCCACGACCTGCGCTTTGCTCGAGGGCCGGTAGGGGGCCAGTTCGACCTCGAGGGCCCGGTCAGGGCGGAAGTTCGCCAGAAGCATGTGGAGTTCACCGGCCAATTGATCCCATGGCACCAAGAGTGCGGGGCCCACTGCCTCTCCTGAGAGATGCTTGGTGAGGAGTGCAAAAATATGGCATCAAACTGGATTATTCGAAAAGAATGCATGGGCAAAAGGGTTGGAGATTCAGGTCCTTTGAATGTTCCTTTTTGATCCATCTTGTGTTCTTTTGCTGCACCTGGCTCTTTTCTTGCTAACACGCTTGTCAAAGCCCAAGAGGCTGATAATGAGAAAATCCTTGCCACTGACAATGGGAATTGCCATTTGATCAGAACCAGATCCCAAATGCATCCGAAGTCCTGCCATCGAAAGCACAACCAACGCAACAACAAGCAGGCGGCGAAAATCTTTGCTGCGAATCCAACAAACCTCTGTCCATATGTCACGCCGCCAAAATTTCTACGTTCGTAATATCCTTGCTCCGTTCGTAGCGATGCCCAGGAGCCCCTAGTAGCGTCCTCTAGTTCCTAGTAGTAATGCCAGGAGCGCCCCGTTCGTAGCGTCCGATCGCTACTCTTCGTTCGGAAGCGTTCCACGACGCGATCGTGTGGCGATCCGCACCTTGGCCCCCGACTTTGGCTTGCAGCTCCGCCACCAGGGACTCAGCTGGTCGGCTGAAGGGCTGCCATTGGATCTCCTGGACGTCTTGCTCATCCTGGACATCCAGCTCACATGCGGTGGAGGTCCAAAGGTTTCTAGGAAATACATACACCAGAGCTTGATTCAGAATTCAGAGGTCCCAACAGGTTGTGTTTCCGAGTCTAAGCCCTTTAGAAGGGGAAGCACATCAATGTCTGTGTCGGGAACCTATTGTTCTGCCTTCATACTCAGGATGCCCTCCTTATTCAGAGCCCGCCACACGTGTTTCTTCATCTGAAGGCAGTGCCTCTTTCCTATGCATGATAAAGACCTCGAGCTATGGAAGCTATGCTTTCTCCCAACCCGTAGTCCTCAGTGAAGCCCACAGGAAAGCTCACCACAAAGGCTTCGCATACCGGCAGTGTAAGCAGCACAGGCAGTGCCCAGCACGGTCCCAGAGCGTGCATGGGAGCACCCGCATGGCCGGGTTGGTTGGTGGAAGACCAACTGATGCTGTGGGGTTCGTCCGACCAAAATCTTGGTGCATCTACATATGTTGAATGGGGATGTGCTAGCGATGTTTGTTGAAAAAAAAACAAGTGTGCCCAAGTGGGGATGTCTAAAAGCCCTGCAAATGATGGACACCCTCCCTTGCAAATCGTGAGCTTTCGGCAGTATCAGCTGCATTGCACGTTCTTGAAACAGGTGAGGGTGGTAAGTTGTACTTAACAGTGCCAACTGTGCCCATTTTTTGAGGGCAGTCAAAGCATTATGAATTGTTCACACCTCTCTCAGGATCGTAGCACAGCGCCCCCTCCCCCAGCTGCTGACCGATCGTCCCGTTCCCAGGACAATCCCTTTTCTAGATCGTCAAACATAGTACATAACGGCTGCAGTGCTTGGAAGACACCCAGACGCCACCAGACAAAGTGGTTGCAGCGACTGTGCATTGGCTGCTGCCATCCAGATTTTGTCTCATTGAAATCCCACGTCTACGCTCACAATACCCTGCAAAACAAAAGGCACATTGCATCGTTTGTGGCACTTACTTGGATATCCAAACATATTAGAGAAAACAAGTTGATTTTAGCCTCACATCTGTAGTTGATGTGCAGAGGTCAACTGTGACAAATTGCAAGTTTGAGGGGACTCAGTCCGGGATCCATAGTGATAGCGCAATTGGTTGAAAACCCCTGCTTGGCTTCTATGGATTGTGCAGCCTCCAAACCTCTGCAAATTCAATGCATGAGCTTCATGCACCTTACCATTCCATTTGCAAATTTGATTTTGGGCGGTGGAACTGCATGAAGCTCTAGTCCAAGACTGAATAGTGTACATTGCAACTTGAGTGCAGGCCTCTGGAAAATTCAGCACCGCAGTGCCAAGGATTGACAGCGCAATTTGCATCTGTATTGGAACGGGGCTTCCCAATGGGCATGCCTGACACATATCTTGTTCCTGGATGCCAATGTGCTCTCTTGTAACATATGTTACATCTCTTGTAACTGGATATGGTCCATGTGATTGCAGTGTGTCACCGTGGAAAGTAGTGCCTCTGTTGAGTTCTCTTTTGATGCTTAGTCTACTTCTGTCGTGCCTGTTCCCCCCTACTGGTACTTGCTCTTCTGGCAATGTGGCATTCTCTTCGGCCTTGGTCTGCAGCTGATTGCATGTTTGCAGCTAATATCGTCTGGACAAACATGACGGGGTGAGCAAGTGTTCTGAGGTGCGATGTGCCATGATTTGCCTTATGATGCATACATGTCAGACTTAAAGAATCTTTGATGAAACTGGATTGCTTTAGAGAACCATCGGCTGATATAAATTGTTTCAGTGTAGAGACAAATTCCAACCGCTTTGCACGTTCAATTCCAGGCCACCCCACGACCGGAATGCTCGCCCCGGTGCCCCCGGCCGCGATTCCAAGTGCCGTCTGGCCACGATTCAAAGTCCTGTCGGCACAACCGATTGACACGGGACACGCGGCCCTATGAAGGTACAGTGTAAACAGCCCCAACTGATTGCGCCAGAATCTTGTGCACCTGTGGCAAACCTCTAAAGAAGCTGTCCTGCGGTAATTGGGAGAAGCAAGCGACAGCCAGCCCAAGAACCTCAAAAATCCGACGACTTCAGGGTGGAATTTGGCATCCGTAAGCCAACTTGAAATCTCTGCTATTGAGTTGGTTTGAACCAGCACTAGCTTCCCCATTCAATCATACACATCCGTTCCACTTGGATCTGCTGCTTGCTGCTTTGGGGACTCGACGATGGGAGGTCTTCTTGCCAAAGCCCCTTTGCTGCAACCATTGACTGCAGGCATTGCTCCAGCACCTGTCCTCAGCATAATGCACACGTGGGATTACTGTAATCAACCCCCCATCCCCCCTTCAAGGTCAACAAGGTCAACAAGGTTTGAGATTGGAGGCATTGGAGACCACATCCCCTTAATAAAGGTGATGACCTGATGATGGATGATGGTCGATAGGATTCTGTGTGAACCATGAGGCCTGTGTGAGGCGTACCCTTTGTGAGTTTGAAAACCTAAATATTTTTATAGTTCTTATAAGTAAAAATGACGATTTTTGCTAGAGTGTTTTTAGGGGGTGTGAACAAAGATTGCTCGGGACAACATTGGCAGGTTAGACTGCAGCTTTAAAACATATATATATATATACTAATGAACTATTTTTCTTGTTCGGTTTTTTG